TGATGCTTCATGGGATTAAACCCTCTTGTGGTAACTTGAGATGTGCATATCATTAACAATTTTTCTTCATTTCTTGGAGAGGAGGCTGAGGAGCAACCATATTCATGTTCTGATGTACTTGTAACCCATACTTTCTAGGAGCTATCGTATTTATGTACACAAATTGTATCATGCAATTACATGTATTCATATGTTGTTTCATGCATAGAAGTTGGGGACGTGGTACGCTATAGCGAGCTGCGACCCAACCCGAGTTAATCATCCCAGGTTCGCATGGAACACGATCTGATTCACCAACTCCACCGACCCGATATAGAATTGAAATCAGTTAAAATCTTGGAAAAAACTCTTTTTAAAAGCATAAACAACCAAAAAGTGAGAAATTAAGCAAATAAAATATGCATATCTAAATTGCAACATGATTCTCAAGGACCATTACTGATGTCAACTAGCATTTAAGAACCAAACCTAGAGTGTACCATGTTCCCTAGCATACCATATAAGCCCCCCACCCGATTCTTAATGAGTGGCGTACCATGTTCCCGTACCCGTCTCGTGAAACGAACCGGGTTCCATGAAACTATGGTTTCATGACCGAAGATCCTTCTCTTGTTATTCCAGGACGCGTATTCTATTCATATTCTTTTTCACTTGCATGACCTAGTAATCTGTATGCATTACCATTTGCACCTGAATTTATTTAAAGTTCTTTATATGATTCTCATTTTTTCTGCATATTCTCTTGTTTGAGAGAATGGTTAGTTTTCCTGTACTTGCAGTAGACAAGATTAAGTATGACCTACACAACTTTTCACATGTTAATTCCTAAAACATTCACCGTGGTGTGTAAGTTATATTGAAAATATTGTATCTAATTTTATTGAAAGCAGTTACCTACAAGTAACCTTCACACAATCTTCGAGTTAGATTTTGATACAAAGCTAGTAGGAAATGTCACAGATTTAAAAGGTAAGGCACTGACGTGAGAGCAGAGAAACACTCTGCGTTCTGTCTCTAAAGGACCTGTAACATGGGATACTCAAGTTATGCTTCTTTGATTTCTTAACGGGTCCGTTCTTCGTTGTATTACTCTACTCAAAAAGGTGGACTTCACAATTTCTGTGTGTTCTGCAGTATAAAGGTTCATAGGTCACACTCTTTACCTTTCTGTACTACATATTGATTAGTTCTCTTAGAATAGCATGAGATTTCAGCCTCAATCCCTTTTTAATTTGCAACCTTACACGTCAAAACTCAAAATTTAGTTTAGCTAGGTGTTTAGTTTAGCTAGGAGAACTAATCAATATGCTTCTCTGATTTCTTAATGGTTGAGTCCATTCTTCGTTGTATTACTCTTCTCAAAAAGGTGGACCTCACAATTTCTGTGTGTTCTGCAGTATAAAGGTTCGTAGGTCACACTCTTTACTTTTCGGTACTACATATTGATTAGTTCTCCTAGAAGAGCATGAGATTTCAGCCTCAACCCCTTTTTAATTTGCAACCTTAATGTCAAAACTCAAAATTTAGTTTAGCTAGGTGATTTTATTATATTTTAAAATGAGTTTTACTTAAAAGTTATGAAGAGTTCTTCCTGATGAAATATACATACCTAACTGAGAAGTAGATCATGGCCGACTATGAATGTGGGAAAAGGAGACTCATGTGGCCGTTAGCACAGCATTTATCCTTTTTAATGTATATATGCCACTAAAAATTCTATATACACTTTCGATGAAATTTTCTTTTCTTTGTAATTGAACTTAAATATCATTACCTATGAACTTTTGAGTACAGTACTCTTACCAGGCATGCCTGGGGCGTAGAAAACAAGAACTTCTCAACCATCTAGAGCAGTACAAGTGTTCTCGCCATGACTTATACTGAGTTGAAATTTTCATACTAAAATTCTAGCTAGTTAATGTGCTTCACTGTAAGGTCTACATCCCTTGACACGTCTAGAAGTCTTCTCTGGTTTCTATCTCTCCAAATCTGGTACTCTGTTGCTGCAAGAGAAGCCCTCAAAACTTTCTTCTTTTGTGCTTATCCTTTCACCTATTGACAAAATTCTAGTTCATCTCGCTACTGCATAAGATCCCTCCTCTGCCCATGCCAAATCAACACATTCTTCTACATCATAGCTGAAAAAGGATACTTAAAGGATAAGTGATTAACATGCTCTCTAGCTTGGTTACACAATATACATTTACTCTCTTGAATGAACCTAAATTGAACCATTCTATCTTGGGTCAATTACCTCCTCCGTGCTGCCAACCAAAGCAATAAGCATGTCTAAGTACTGAGTAGTGACAATGAACTGTAGAATGCCAAGGAACTCACTGTTTATGGCAAGGCAAGTCCTTATTGGCCAAAGACATTTTTAATTTCACCCTGCAACTTCCAATTGTTAACTTGTTGAACCATAGCTTCCACATTAGACCATCTCTGAGACATCCAATATCTAATCTGCAACACTTTCCTCCAAAACCACGAATCACCCATTCTAGCTTGTTCAACACAATGAATTATGCTTTAGATAATGCCCGTGCACTCATCTTTGATGAATTTATCATGTTAGTTATGTGTTCTCCTCTTGTTTGATCTTTCTTATTAGGAGAAAAAAATGAGGCTGTATAACTTGTATTATCTAGAATGCTGAAGTTGTTAAGCACAATATACTATTTACACATGTATATGCACATGCACAGAGACAAAACACATAGGGGAATTTTGAAATGAGAATTTCATGGTGAGAACTTTATAATGGACCATCTCATGTTGATTTTTACCATTTATCTTGTTTGGCACTTCTAGATAAGGTTATGAATTAGGGGTGAAGTGGTTTTACAACTTTGTTGGCCTTTATAAGTTTAACACGTTACAGTTATAAAAAAAAAAAAAAAATCCTTTGATGCTTTTTACAGTTTTGAAACCTCTTAATATCTTACACTTACACCTCGTTTGGTACGCGGGAATGGAGTCAAGAACTGAATGGAGATAGAAAAAGGAATGGAATTGATGTGGGAGTGGAATGTTCATTCCCATTCTCATGTTTGGGTGCGATTAGAGAATTAAGTGGGAATATTTTTAAGAGGGGTATATTTGAAATTTATTTTATTATTTTCATTACCACTTAAGTAGGAATATCGATTCATTGATAACGCATTTGGCATAGTAATTCCCACATTAAGTGGGAATTGATGAGAAATGGAAATAACATTTCTAGCATCCAAAAACACATCATGTTTGGTAGGCATGAATGAGAAATTGAAATTGCATTCCATTCCCACTTATTCTCATGTACCAAACGAGACAATAGAGTATTTTAGATCATAGATAAAGATCAATGATGGAAATCATCTAAAGGATGACCCATTGCGGAGTTATCACAAAACTTATTCATTTATTCTGAGAACTAGTTCTGAATGGAAGTGCTCCCCACATACATCCTTACATTCTTAATAAGTAAATGTATTAGACTCATTTACTTAGTGTTGTATATTAGATCACTTTGAAGTATTCCCAGCCCTTTGCAAGTAGTGAGAGAAATTGAATTATTGGAAAAACTTTTAATGAAAGCATGCTCAACTCTTTGTCGTAACATATGTAATTTAAGCGCCCTTATGTAAATTAGAGTTGTTATTAATGTGGATAAATTAAAAAGACGTGCTCACATGACACTCGCAATGGATTGGTTAAACTTTGTCATTAATTTATTTTATTAGTTGTTGAAAGAATATACATGAAAAAGTCAAAGCAAGAGGCCATGTATGACAATATGAAAAAAGAACAGGCATAAGATGTAATCTTTAAACCTATAAGGTATCTAATGTATATACGTAGTGTGTGTAATGCATGAACGTTTCTATATACGTATGTATATAGTTTGTGTAATGTATGTAGTATGTGCATGTATGTCTGTATATACGTATGCGATATTTGCATGTAACATGTTGTATATCGTTATGGTTATATGCATCATTCCACATTAAAATATGTTTCTCCATTAAGGCAGAACTCCAAAATGTACCGAAGCAAGTAAATGTTTGTTGTTGAACTAAAATTTATGACACTTATAATCATTCCATCAATAAAAGTTTCGTCTTTTATTTATCTTCTAAACTACATTTTCTCGCTATGGTAAAGAAAATATACATCCATCAATTCCTGTCCATGATGATCAAATGTGCCCATGTGATTCATTATTTCAGAATTGAGCTACTTTTCATATATTGTTTTAATCATGAGATGATCATCTATTCAATGTTTAATTTTTCATACATGTTCTAGTTTAGGGGCTGTTTGGTAAGGCTGGAGAAGTATGGAAAACAGACATTTTTTTCTTATAATTGTTTCTTAACCTTGTGTTGGGTAGCAGAAGTTTTTTGGGAACGTATCTCCTAAAAGGTTAAAAAAGTCATCACCCAAAACAGGAAAATATTTCAGGAAATTTTGATCCTAAATTGGTCGGAAAGTAGCCAATTAGGATTAAAGAATTTGTGCATCACTTGTGGAGTGTTTTGTGATTAGCTAAACCAATTAATGAGGCGTAAAAGTAATTAATAAGGAACATTAGTTTCTATAAACAAAGGATTCCTTTTCTGGAGTTTGTTTCCAATGGATTAGCATGGAAATCTAAATCAATCTTTAATTTCTTATGGAAACAAACATGAAAAATCTTTTCCAAGAAACAATGGAAATGTTTGGAATTTGGAAATGGATTTCTTTGTAGAAATTGATTTCTTTATTTGTTGGAAATGAACTAAACGCCCCCCTTAACCGATTGAGAGCGAAAATGTTTGGCGACCATCACATACTAGAGGTTTGGGGAAGGAAGAAGCATGACAAAGCTGACCTGTCGATTGCCTGTTTTAGTAGGTCGGCTGTCACAAACAAGTTATCTTTTTGGATAGTAAAATTAGGCTGAAAGTAGTTTACAGATTAAGTCTGTCTGAAGTTAAAGGATTAAAATTTAATAAATGGTTAAATCCACTTTTCTGTAGGTGCTCAATCTAGCTGCAGTTGGAACCATGACTGTACGCATGTGCTTGTTGATGAGTCTTCTTCAATAACCGCAGATCTCCTTAATGCTGTTGTGGCCAAGAAGCCTATTGTACATATTGATTGGCTAAAGGTATGTTGACATTTTTTATTACAATGCTCCTCAGTACCTCTTTAGTGTTAGGATCATTGGAGACTTGCTTGTTGGTTATAGTAGCAACAGGAAGTTCTTCATCTCAAATGTTTGGGGTTGTGCTGCTTTAGTCCTTTTCTTCCCTTCAGCTTTTTCGAAGGACCACCTTCAGTTAAATTATTTGCTAATATATCCTTCTTAATTGATTCGATTTCCATCCAAGGTCTTTCTGGAATACATTGTCCAATCAATTACGTCATTATTTCCTGAATCACACCTTATTGACATCCATGGCACATGCATGAACTATTTCAACTAATTCTCCCTCATTTTATCCTCAACTGGAGTAACCTCTAATTTCTTGTAGAGGGAATTACTTTATAACATATCTTCTAAGCATAATACCACCCAACCAACGTTCTTGTTTCTAAAAATCATTTTTCGGCATGCTATATGTTAGCTTCCAATAATCGAACACTAAAGCATTACTTATATTGTTCCATTCTATAACTTTGTGGTCCAAGATTTTGGCGGCAATAGTTGACGAGAAATATGTGAATATGATGATGGTAATAGTTTGCAGTTCATCCTAAAGTACGATATCTTCTTTTGCCACTAAATCTCCTGCATCCCTTTTTTGGTTGACAAGATAGGTGCATGCACCACAGAATATTTACATTCTTTTTACTCTTTTTTATTTTGCACTGGAATGTCTGCTAGTTGATCAGTATGATTGCAGAAATTCCAGTGGAAAGATGTATTCCTGGATTGTTGTAGGAACTGTATTAACTGTGTAATGCAACTTTTTATCTCCAAGTGTTTTCCCGTCAAACTGGGTTTTGCCTATGGAACAAAGCTGCTTAGGCCATATTTATGTTTCAATCTTTTTCTCGTCGTACTATGGTTGGCTGTGGAGAAAAGCAGCTCATTCAAATTTTCATTTTGATAGTGTCATCCTTCTTCAAGTTGGTTACGAATTTATGGCATGGGCAATATTGGAGTGTCCTGGTATAGGATCTGCAAACTAGACCTATTTGGTTAGTCATGCTTTCTGCTTCCAGGACACAAACTTCTTGTGAAGGAGTATTTGATGAGAGATGAAAGGATTGCTCCAGAGCCATAGTGTGAATTCATCTCCAAGGAACCGACAGATTATCAATTTGCCACATAACATTATTATGGGCACATGTACTATAATTTACTAAATATTGAGGTAAAGCTGAAGTACATTTAAGGATGTAGTCAAGTACTTCACGTTTAGCCATGCAAATCCATGGGCTATGTTTGTACACAATGTAGGACTTCTTTTTTGCTCTTACCAATGAGACAGTTTTTGTTATAAGTTATGGGGCCCTTGGAGGCGATTCGATATTTTATATGCCAAGTATATTTCAATTGAATCTGTCCTTTCATTTTAAGTAATACTTTTGAAGGAGCTATCTGACGGAAGGAAAGTTGGCAGGGACAACATTGACATCCGACTTCAAGATACTAATTTCGTGGGAGAGAATCGTCCCATGTTTTGTCTCTTGTTTCCACCACGTTTGACTCAGTGCCACTGTCATTAATGCCATTTCTGTAAAACTGTTATCACCATCATGCATGAAAACTCACAGATGTCTTAGTGAAAGTATCAAGAAGATGAAAACTGAAAATTATATCCTAGAAAAGAAACATAAAGAGCACAATTTTGAAAGCTGAAAACATAGTTGCAAAAAAGGAACTAGTGAGAATGATTGTTATCAAGATGAAAACTATATGCTTACGTTCATACTTGCCTATGGTAGTTTCTACGTTATTTACTTTAAAGTATTGCACATCGTTCTCTTCGTACCTTTTCTCTTTTAGGTCAATAATATACAATGTATCCTGTTTTTACCCTCTTGAAACTTTGCAAAGTTGATGGTAAAACTACTTATTTGATTCCAGGTGCTCGCGGAGAAAAAACTTTGCACGGAATTTCCAAATGGCATGCAGTAAGTTTATTTGTTAGGTTTACCCCCCACTTTAGTATCCCAAAACTTCACCCATTGTGACTTCAGCATCTTGAAGTTTAAACTTCCCTAAAAGGCACCCTAGCGTTTAATTAGCTACACTTCATTACCTTTTGATAGGTATCATATGATGCATATACATGATGTCTTTTGGACAGTTTAACCTCTCTCGTAAGATGAATACCATGAAGTCCCTCCCCTTCCAACTCTATCTTCTTTCCCATTTGATTTCTCGAATGTGAGGTAATAATTATAAAATTTGCTAAGAAAACCTTCTCACTCAGCTTGTATGTACTGAGGTTATTAGGGTTTGTCTAGCAAACTGGGTAAACCAGTTTTAGTGGGGACAAAATGAGTCTATGGGCTTAGCCTTGTTTGGCAGATGAAAAAAAAAACTGGTTCTTTCGAGGTCCACTTTTGCTCAATAACTAGGCTAGAAATAAACCAACTCTCACTTGGTTTTTAAGAAAACTAGTTCAAATATACTCTAGTCTACAAATTAGCAAAACTAGTTTAAATTAGAACTAGCTCAATAAAGTCTATATTACCATAACCTAGCCAAGTGGAGCTACTTCAAAACTAGTCTACAATATTTTCGAACTTACCAAACACACCCTTAGTTTTGAGTTTTGTAGTCAAGAATGAAGTTTCTTTCGAGATATTCTTAAATGGGTAAGGGGAAAAAGAACTGAGTGGAGAGAGAAGAGAAACTATCATGAAAATGATTGAGAGCAAAGTAATTGAGAAAAGAGGATAATGAAAATGATCACGTGAGTGCAAATTTAATTGAGGAAGAGGGAATACTTTCATAAATGGGTTTTATTGTAATTTCAAGTCCTCACCATTAAGTTGACAATATTAATTGACTTTGAAAAGGTTCAGGGAACCTGTTGAACAAAGTTACCCTTCAAGGTTCAAGTATAATAGGGCAAAACTTTATAGGGTAGCGAAGTGAAAATAACCCTATTCCTTATGACACTAATATCTTGGTTATTCCATTGTATCTTCCTTTTTGAAGATTGAAAGTTGTAGTGCTTAATTTGATTCTTCTGTTCTAGACATGCACCTACCTTAACTTTGGAAGGGTCATCAATCCGGATAGTGGACCCAACTGTTCGAGACAAAAGCTTGGAGGGGTTCACATTTGTATTGGGATCACTATCAAAGGTGTTATTCTTTGATTCTTTAATTTGGAATGTATCTTCTGTTCTGTTAATATGTGTGCTATGCTTGTTGCAGTATAAATTTGGGGAGAAGCTCCAATCATTACTGGAAGTGGTGGGAGCAAAAGTTATTAGTCTTGATGTGTTTTTTTCTGATAGCCAAGTAAGACATGAATACTTGAAGTTTTTTTGTTGGTTAATTTGTTCTCACTTGCACCCTACCCCAAAGCATGGCAGGCTGACAGCCATACATTACATATTCACATACACGCTTATAAGCACAGATACCAATAGATGCTCATTTGTTAATGGACTAAGTTGCTATTGCTTTTGAATGATTTTTTTCTTTTTTTTCTCGTTTG